ATTCACTCCGGAGGCATACCGACGCCCTCCGCGCCTGCCGTTTTTGGGCGACGCGTTCCAGTGGTTCCGATAGTCACGCTGGGAGGCCGCGACGCGCCGTGGAACGCCACGATACTTGTTGGAGTGCATTGTTTTCCTAATCGAGAGGAACGCCCCTTTCGGGGTTGGGTGTTATTCGCAGTGGGTGTGAATGCTGGAAGGAGAACCGACTCCACAGAAATCGCGATACAAATTCGCTGGGGGAGAAGGCTCTAAATACTACAGAAGAGTACACATGCGACAAGTGTGCAATTACGTCATTTGATTATTATTTTGTTCTTATTCTACCGTCAATTATTCCTACGTGCAAAAACTTTCAAATTGCTTTACGATCTTTCTTACACGATGCTTACACGATCTTTCAAATTGCTTTACTAAATGGGTAAAATGTAAAGTCCCGTTACTGAGACCATTATGCGGTTAAAAATGCTACTTCTGCTAGCTAAATGTAATAATCAATGTCCAATATATAATATTTAATATTTCAATATTCTACATAATTTCTGAAAACCTTCCATAATACAATGGCGAAAAAATATTGCTTCTCAAAAATAAAAAGTGAGCTAACTGCATTGGCATAAAATTAAAAAATAAAGCGTGTTTCTCCCCATAGTTTTATGATTTCATCACAGAATATAATATTTTAGCTTCCATGTTAATTACTTAAATTAGTACGCATACATTATTTTCCCATATACATTTATTACATTATTATTCGGGAAATAAGCCGATGTCAGTTTTCGAATAGTTAAGTTGAGACATCCGTGAGCGTGATTGACATATATTATCACTGTTGATTAGTCTATGCTTATCAGGACTTATCCAAAAACCTTCCCAATGGAGAATAATAGTTAATGCCTAAAACGTATTGCTGTCCATTTCTAGATCATTTAAAGAAATCCTTCAGAATACTTTTGGAACGATATTTCTAAAAACGCCACAATAATTTTCCACGCCACTATTATAGATATTTTATCACAAATGTTCCAAACAAAAAGTCCAGTGTTTCTTCGCTGAATTTCAGTCAAAGCGTTCTTTATTCACCTTTAAAATGCTAACTATTCGTGATGGCGGATTTCATGCCAAAATGAGGTAGTGATCTTGGCTCTGGGAAGAAACAAACTCTTGCCACAGGCACCCACATGTAATTTTACAGTAGGGTTTTTGTGATCATTTTGCATTACATCCAGAAACAATAAGGAACACACTGAGTATAGGACACAAATCCAGCCATGAGGATTTCCTAAGAGATGCATATTACAAAATATTACAGAGATGAAACGAGTCTTCTGAAACAAGTGTTGCCTGACATATCGAAACCTCTTACATGGAAAGTATTTTGTTATTATGCCACGTTCTCTTCCATATGTCTCGGAGATGGAGTCTGTCACCCGCACATCGTGCATTATACTTCTCTCGCACGCCCCACCAAACGCGTCTCAGCCCCTCTCCTTTTCTTCGATCGTGATCCATTACTTCACAACGAGCTCTTCAAGGCCAGTACTGTTCCATTTCGTGACTTGGATGGTAATTGGATTGGTGGTGGCTTGGATAGTGTTCTTTTCTTTTTCCAATGGGCGTTTGATTATCGATACGCAAGTAAAAGAGACATAATTATCACAAAATAAAATCAATATATACTCCATAAAATATCAAATAAGACCGTTCACAGCACCAAAAATGACTGTCTAAATTCACATTGCAAAGAACAGAGTGATATGATAACGTATATATTCATCAATTGTAATGAATGTAGTAAGCACGTATAAGATTTTAAGAGAGGCATTATGAGTTTACCCTTTGGTAACCTACAAATAAAAAAAATTGGTTGTGAATTAATTCTGAGATTCTATATGCTGGACATGATGTCACTACAATTTTTAATATTTACTAAACTTAACTAAAACACTTAAAAAACATAGCCGCACAATTGTCTTCATATATTTCACAAATTCACGACACATCACAATAAAATATCCGAAGCACATTCGATACATCCACAAGTAATAATCCGACACACAAACGTCTTCCACAAGTCACCTGTGTCCTTCAACGAACTTAATTTACCTCCTCACCCAACATCACCAGTAGACCCTGAAATGCGCTACAAGCCCTTTCAGAAAATCAGCGTACAAGCGGCAGGGTCGACGTACAAGGCTCGAGCCAGGCGCCTCCGCGGGGACTCACCTTAGTGTCGGGGTAGTGCAGGAAGGTGGCGATGCCCGCGCGCACGCGGTTCTTGACTCCGCGCACGGTGCCCTTGGCGCTGCGGATGGTGGCGCTGCCCTCCTTGTTGCCCATGATGTCCTTCAGCCCTGCGAACGTCTCCTCGTCCTCCTCGTCGGTGGCGCGCACGGCCTTCGGGTCCTCGGGCTCCGGCTCGCGCTCGTTCAGGTGGAACTGGTAGTAGCGGTCTTCTTCGTACTTGTAGGAGCCGATGCGCGCGCGGGACGCTTCGGCGGCGGCGGCAGCGTTCTGGGCTTCGGCGGTGATCTCGCGAGTGCGTTCCTCGTACGTACGTTCTTTGACGATCCCGCCGCTGGCGGACGTTTTGGGCGAGTCGGGTTCTGAAGGGGTGGTTTGCAGGATGCGGTACAAGGACGATTGGTTCTTCGGGTACTCTTTCGGCTCGGGGCTGGCCGGCTCCGGGGTTTTCGGTGGGGTGATCTCGCCCCACGTGCGCAGCTTGCGAGTGCCCGGGGTCGCGGGCGGGGTGGAGGACACGCCGTTGAGCGTGGCGGTGCGGTCGCGGATGTCTTGGAGGAGACCTTGAGGCAGGAAGGTCTTCTGGCCGGTGGGGCTGGAGGGTGTTTTCGGGGGTGTCGGAGGCGACGGGATGGCCTTTGCGGGTTTCGCCGGGGTTTTCGGAGGCGGCGGTTTCGGCACGCCGCCGACGGCGCTGGCGGGTGAGTTGACGAGCGGCCCGTTGAAGGTGACGACGTTGGTCGCAGCGCCATTGACGATGGCGCTGACGGCGTTGTCGGATACGCCGAAAGAGCGGTCTGAAGCACCGAAGGAGCTGCTTGAAGTGCCGAAAGAATTGTTGGAAGCGCCGAAAGAACTGTTGGAAGTGCCGAAAGAATTGTTGGAGACGCTGAAAGAATTGTTGGAGGCGCTGAACGAGTTGTTGGACATGTGCGCGCTGGTGTTGTTGGCGGTGACCGTAGCGGCCGTGGCGGCGACCAGCGGAGCCACCGCAGCGGTCATTGGGTTATTTACAAGATTGTTAGCGCGCACCGTCAACGCGACGCTCTTGAGGGTCGGCGACGGAGGAGAAATAATTTTTTCCTCCTGGATGCTCTCCATGATAGTCTCGCTGTGCTTGTGGTGGCCGTTGCTGAGCCCGATCTTGGAGAAGGCGTAGTGCGTGGAGTCATCGAGCTCGCCGCCTCCGTTGAGCTCGTGGCTGTTGAGCGAGTCGCAACTGATGTTGCTGCCCGCGTCCTCGTCGCTGTCGGCGTCGTTGCCGCTGCTGGTGAGGCTGGCGGTGCGCCGGTGCTGCGGGTGGCTGCCGTTGACGGTGACGGTGACGGTGGCCGCCGCGGCCGCTGCCGCCGCCGCCGACACGCCGTTCTTCTTGGGCAGCGGGGGCGGCGTGCTGCCGTCCAGATCGGAGCAAGTGCCGCTGTCCAGGGTGTCGCTCGGGGACGACTGCCCGCTGGAAATGACCATCCCCGACGTGGGGAAGGAGCTGCAGAAGAAGTAGGGGTTGTTGCGCTCGGGCTGCTTGAGGAAGGCGTCCGCAGGCCGACGCACCATGTCCTCCACCGTCGAGTCCTGGCTGCCGACGCTGATGCGGATGCTGCCGGCGCTGGGGCCGTCGGGGTTGATGCGGATCTTGACGACGTGCTCCCCGGACGTCGAGATGCTACTGAGGGGCTGTGCCGGCCCGGACCCGCCGCCGCACGGAGCTCCTCCTCCAAAAAAAAAAAATGTACCGTTGCGCGGCGGGTTGCGCGGTGGCAGTGGCGGTAGCCGGCGGCCGGGCTGCTGGATGGATGCAAGCAGCGCGGACGTCGAGGAGGCCCGTCACGTCAGCCTGCGCCGCTGCCGCCGAGTTTTCGGGGGCAGAGGCGGCGGTGACGGCGCGCGTGAGGCGCCGTGCTCTCTCCATGTGTGGAGGGGTGGTCGGCGGAGGGTATACGGTGGGCGTCCGGTTTTCTCACTAGAGCGGAAACAGCGCGCTTCCTCCTTCGGCGTTCTTGGGACGTGCCACCTCCTGCTACCGGCAGGCCGCTGTCTACCACTGCCGGTTTTGCGCGCTGCGCAGGGGTCGCTGGCCTGGGGTGGTGGGGGGGCGGGAGGGGTGTCGGACCGCCCCGGTCGGGCTCGCCATGGCCCGGTGTGGCGGGCGCCTTTGCGCGTCGGTGATTCTCTTGCGGCTCCTCGAGGGGCTGGCCGTCTGGTCCGCCGTCCCACTTGCGGCGTGGAAGTAGCGCGCGGGCCGCCTCCGCCGCCGCCGCGTCGTCCTCGTCGGAGCGGTCGTGGGCTGGCTCGCTGGCTCGCTCTCTCTCTCACTCCCGAAGGCGAAGGCGCACGTGAGAGCGCGGGGCGGGCTACCTGGCCTGCCCGGCTGCCGTCGCCGCTGATACTGAGGCGAGCGCGCGCTCGCCGCCGCCGTGCCGGTCACGTGGGCTCTCCCGCCGCCGCCGCCGTCTTCCCGCGCCGTGCAGCGCCGCGCCGCGCCCGCTCGCTCGCGCCAGCGCCTACCTGCGGCGCCGCGCCGCGCCAGAGAAGGCGGAGGCGGCGCCCTCTTGCGGCGGACGGTGAAGGCACCGCGCGGAGGCGCTCTCGACGACCGTCTTCGGCCCACCAACCATAACAGCTGCTCTTCACATTATTAATAGTTACATTGTAGCAGTATTAATGTTATTATTTATATTTAGAACGCTAGCTTGCACTCCTGTTACGATCAACAAATTGGATATATAAATAATCCTTTTTGGATTTTGAAAGAAGTCAAAACCAGAACGGTATAAGTGACATTTCATAAATTCTGAGAAATGTTTATTCGAGTCAGTATGACTGTAAAGTCAGGGTGTTTTGGTTCATCACTAAAACCACGGCATTTCAATTGATAATTAAAATCACGAAATATATTCTAAAATAAACACTTTTTCTCAGAATTTATAAAATGTCACTTATACTGTTCTGGTTTTCACCCATTCATTTGTGAACGTAGTATGTTATACGTAAAACGTGTCCATGGCGTGAAAAGAACGATTGAGATGTACAATTGACGATATATAAATGCCATGCCATGCCATGCCATGTAAGGTCTGGTATAATACACTATTTTCATGACTACAATTAAGTAGAATTTCTCACAACATGATTGGGGTCTAAGTAATATACGATTGTTAAAATATGAGTGAGGGAGAACAGAGGAAAATAGAGTAAGTAAAAGTAGAGGACCTAAAATGGGAGAAATGGGGAGCCAAGTCTCCATAATGAAAGGGAAAGCGAAATTGAATGGATGTACAGTAAGAAGCAATTATTTTATCATTTTGAAAGAAAAGTGAGAAAGAGGAGAATGTTTCTATTCGAAGAAAACCCATTATGCAAGATGGTGGGGACTAAGGGACAAAGAATCGTTTTCCTAGAAATATTGTTGCAAAACAGAAAATAAGCTACTTTTATTTTATTGTTATGGTTATGTCCCTAAGTAAAAATAATCGCTGGGGACAATCTGATCAATTAATATTGTATCTCCTCTATCTTACTTGTCTAGATTGTTTCACAATACATTCCCGAGAAGTGAACTGAGCTACAAACATGTACGAGAACGACAACATACAGAGTGCTGACACTAAACTCTCGCTTTTTTGAATTTTATAAAAAAAAATTCAGTCTAATCAGTGAATAGAATAACCGCCAAATTATCCGAAATCAAAATTTTAAAATCAAAATTCAGGCAACCGATTATTTAATTCTACTTAGGTTAAAATTCTTCAATTATATATTAAAGTCTTCAATATACGAATACAATGAAAATCTCAACTTAGAAATTCGCCAGAAACCATATTCAAATAGTGAACTATTAAGTTATTTCTTAGATAAAAAAAATTGATCTCCAACACTAACCTTCTTTTAGGATTGGAAATATTGGAAAGCAAAATCTCGAAAATATTCGAATCTAAACGACCGGAGATAACGATGCGCGATTAGCAATCATCCGTTATCTCCTACCTACGTCAAATTCGACGTGAACCAGAAACGACCTCTGATTCGGCAGAAGCGGCGGATGCGGCCCTTGGCGACAGCACGAACGGCGCAGTCAGCAGTGGCCGCGGTCGAACCGCCACACCGCGCCACGCCGCGCCTGCTGGAATATTCCGCGGCGCCGCCACGCCACACCGCTCCACGCCACGCCACGCCGCCGCCGCTTGCCCACCGGCCACACTTGTTTTCGTCCCGGTTTTTGCGTCACGCCAGCCCTGCCCGCCCCGAGTGGCCGCCGTAACAGCAGGTGCCGGTGCCACTGCCAGCGCTGGCGACGCTAGCATCGCCACCATCACTACCATTACCACCATCACCACCATCACCAACCGTACCAATCGACACTGACACCACCACCAACGGTGCCATCCCCACCGACACCACCTCCACCATCACACACCGTGCCAACGCCGCCTCCACCGCCACAACCACCAACATCACCACCCGTGCTCATCGACACTGCCACCACCACTACCACCAACACCATCATCCGTGCCCATCGCAACCGCCACCACCATCACCACCACACGCTGTGCCCAACGCCACCACCACCACCGCCACCAAGCGTGCGTGTCCATCGCCACTTCCACCAGCACCATCACACCGTGCCAGTGACGCCGCCGCCGCCATTACCACCACTAACAAACACCAGTACATCAACCTCCAATCCCCACCTTCAACTGTCATCGCCGGTACAATCCATGCCGATGGTGATCTCCTGTAACAACACATACAACCCCACCGTCATCACAAATGCCATCACCACCTTTGATATCACTAGCAGTAACAATACCACCACCGCCAATACAAGCACATGGTCTTCAGCACCATCACCTGTTTCTCTACCAACGCCATCACTATTATAGCTGCTGCCTCACGTCGCCACCGCCATTATCACCACTAACGCCAGTACAACTGCCACATCCAGTAGCACCACCACCAAAATCACCAGGACCACCAACAACTGTATGGACCAATCAGCAACCACCGCCAGTAACCACCAGGATCACCAGAATCACCATCACCATCACCAACACCACCAACATATCCAGCACTATCAACATTACAAACAACACCACCACCCTGCCCCTCCACAATCACCAGCACCACCACCTGTATCTCTGCAAGCACCACCGATGTCGCTGTCACCGTCTCCATGCCGAAACCGCCATCACCTCCGCCGTGGCCAAGCCGCTGCAATTTCGTGACGAAACGAAAAACCTGGCGCACCGGTTACGATCGGACGGCCCGCCTGCCCGCCCGCCTGCCAGCCTCGCTGCGTGGCCGCCGGCAAGCCGATTCGCAATTATCTTAATCCGAGGGACGCGCCGAGCATCGCTGGCGGAACGCACGGTGCGGGCGAGTTATGTACGTTGCGATGAGCAGCCTGGATCATTGATGCAGCAGGAGAACTGCATACAACTACCACTACACCCATCTTAGGTTATAGACACCACATTTCATACGTTTCAAAATATATTCTTTTATTTACACTCTTGAAACCAATTGTTACACAACATTTCGAGGTATGTTTGACCTCATCACCAGGCCACATAATCAAATATAACATATCAGGATACAAATATATTCTTAGTACAAAGGTAAGCAGGTCTTTTACGTAAACTTCATTAATCATCAAAATCCATCACTTCTCACATCAAAACAATAACTGTCTATATACAAAGTTCTTGTTACTTCATAGTAATGCACTAGTCACAAGAGCAACTTGGCCAAAACTGCCACAGTTTTTCGAAATATGTTCTATAATTTTTGGGGGAAATGTCTGGATGATTCGTTTAATATCACTAAGTCATGGTTTGCTATAGAATTTTGGATTCTTTTGATGAACTAATTTAAGAATATTGAACGAACATTTAAACCAAATTTGATCCCACCACATATGTGAGAGATACGTGAGATAATCTCCCGAAAACTTGTAGTTATGTTTAAGTCACATTAGTGAACATAAAATATTTTTACATAGATGTGAATTGTCGCGTGGATCTTGTCCTCGTTGGCAATGTAGAAAAATAGCGTTTTAGTAACCTACCCTCACGCATTCTCCAAAAATTCAGTTATGAGTTATATTTGTGTGGTGAGTGGATGATTGACAACTTCGATAAACGCATAATCAAGTTAATTCCTCGAAGTTACAAAACTGAACACCGCTGTTTTGTTTGAATTTGTTGTATGGAAGTGCGGCTCTGAAATTTGTGATTCGACAAGTTGCCGTTGTTTTGCATAATGAATAAGGTGTAAATAAAATATATTTCGGAAAATCCTTTTGTTATTTGAAAGATTAATTAACATACAAATTATATTAATTTCTACCCTTTGGCCTACACAGTAAAGTCATGAAAATTTTAATTACTTTTCTCTAGAACATATTCTCATATTCTCAGGTTTTATGAAGATATGTGAGAAAATTTATCAACAAACTAATTGGTAATGTCAAACGTGAACATTTTAACTTCTGTTTCAAATGTTCACCTTCACCCTTTCACACCGTTTGAGATGTTGCTGTTTGTTCAATGCTTTTTGTCACTCGCCTTCATGTTCTTCGTGAGCTGCTAAACATTAGTATTCTCATTCCTGTCATGTTTTGTTATTTTTCCATATATCACCTTTTGAATGTTACTCGGAATACTTATTTTATGTGAGTATTTGAGAAATGATTTTTCATAAATTCGTATTTTGTTTTGTCATTATGTATCTCTTCTCTTCTTACAAACTGGTGTTTTCAAATTGAAGTCTTTCAGAATTATTACTTTGAACGATCGCATTTTTCTCTACAACATTCCTCCTCTGTGCGGTATGCATTAAAATGAAGTTGGCGATTAGAAACACTTTGGAAGGATATTTAATTAATTTCCTTCTAATTTACTTGTACTTCTTTTATATTGATCAATTCAAGTAAATGTATCACAAGATGTAGAAGTAAATAAGTTTTCTGAGAATTTCAATTTCTTCCTTGTGTTAAGATGTGAGGAGTTCAAACGACTTTGAAACAATTCTGCTTAAATGCTGGAAAGAAGGTGGTCTTCATGTTAGAGAGACCTACGAGGATGTGTAGATTAAGTATCGGAAGACCTCATGTGTAGTGTCTGAGAGGTTGAGCACTTGCATGAAGTTCATTCCTGACCCGTTAGCTTTCGCGCATATGCTGGCGTTCGCGCGTTCACAAGAAGAGTGAAGTTTGATTGACAGTTCTGGAACACATGGAAGTTTCCGAGTCTACTCGTGGGGAAGCTTTCTCAGGATAAAACTCAGCTCTCTAACTCATTACAGCAAATGCGTCTTATTTATACGCGCTGTTGAATTTTCACTTGTTTGCCGCTGCTTACTTTAAAACTATCTCAACAATGCACACAACTATGCTTTATTCAATTCACTTAATTCTTCTAGGAATGCAATGTGAAAAAATAAATACATCAGTAGGGTGAACTCTGAGGCTTGGTTTCATCCAGTTTCGAGACTACCAGGATAAGAGAGGTAGTGTATGTATTCTGACAGAATGAAAATAATGAAACATTGCGCATTGCACAATATTTATTATTTGTAATTTCAGATTCTACGTTACCCAAAATTAACATTTGCTCTTTTTATTCTCCTGAAACATTATATGAACGTAGTGCACTTTAGTGTACGCATATATAGAACTACAGTACTTTTGTGTATGCTTATACAACTATATTCGTACCGAAAATATAAATCTCAGAAGACAACTAATTGCTTCGCTTTATTCTAATTGTGTCTAGTAAGACACGTGTTTTATCAGAACACACTTCATATTAGAATGACTTCAATTGTGTTTCAAACAACTACCTTTTATAAGTATTAGAATTCCACTTCACTAGTCATCATCAGGAGAAAAAAGACGTTTTGAAATTTATTATGTGCTTTCACGTTTTCCACATAGCGCTATTCTTTTCGAAACGACACACAAACCTCATATGGTAATCCCAAACGAGCTCCAGCAGTTTCATTATGCTTGTTTGTCTGCCGGAGAGTAATGAGGCACCGGAAATTGAGTCGTGTCCAACAAAAGCTTTCTTTGTACGTTGCAGTAAATGCTGCATGAAATGCATGTTAATAAAGAGGAAGCCCGAAGCAGATTATAAGAGGCGCTATCTACCCGGGTCTGACAGTTTTATTAGCTTCGTGAAGAGGGAAAAGGTTCCGATTTTCATGACTCATTCTGTTTTGAGTTATCGACAAACTGATGTCGATCGGCTACGATAGTCATTCGTTTGCATGAGTGGTCGGCATTTCAGATATTTAGGGATTATTCTAGTGCTAATTTTGGTTTACCTTCATGTACCTCTTAAAAACATTAACGTGATAATGGATTTAAAAGTAATTTTCTAATCTCTTTTTTCGGGCCATACTTTGGAAGTTTCAATACTTAAAAATTTGTATCGAAGAATGCATTATATATATATATATATATATATATATATATATATATATATACTAGTATATATATATATATAATATAATGCTTTCCATACGCTAAACAGAAGTGACTATTTTGACAAATTTGTAAACCTAACCACAA